TTCCTTTAATTTTCTCTTCCAATAGCTAGCCAGCTCTCGTTATCTCTTCTTGTAAGTTATGTATTCAGGGTATACTTTTGTATTTGTAGGTGATCTCCAGGCTTGTCCCGGTTGGTTCTCACTCCTCGCAGCCCTTGTGGAGGAGTTGGGGTTTGCCAGGCAGATCAGTGAAGTGTCAGTAATTCATAAGATACAATAAGAAAGTTTGAAATAGTAAGAAATTGTTCACATCTGAAGAGGGCAAATCTGAAAACACCCACTTGCTTATAGTCTGAGTAGATGTAGGTGTTGAATGTAGATCTTATCAGAGATCAGCATTGCTTATTAATTTGCTTCCTTCAACAGAAGGTGGGAAAAGTTGATGAGATGCATTCGTGTGCAAAGAATTTCAGGTCTGCTTGTAGCAAAGCAGCGATGCATCAGGACGGCTGCTGACTTTGAAGGATAAACAGTTTTTACTCTGTGCCTGGTGCCCTCATGTGGCTGACACTTTGGCTGTGTAAAAGGTAGTGAATGATTTCCCTGTGTAGCCTCGTATGGTCCTCTGTGAGTACAGCATCTGTTGGAAAGCCAAAATATGCTGTCTGTCATGTGGCCAGTGTGATCTGGATACGCAAACCCCAGGAGTTCCCTGACTTAAACCAAGACACCTGCAGAGGTTTGAAGTAGACTAAGAAATTTAGCATAATTGCTACTAAAAATCATTAAACGTTAATATGCTTGAACTGTAGTACTAGTGCAGGTACTAAGATCTTCATGTTTCATTCTTATTAAGGTAAAATAATTTAACATTATAAAGATAAAAATCTAATATAAAAGTAGTCTACGGCTGTATCATTCTTTCAGCTGTACCTCAGCCAACAAGTATGTGCTGCGCAGTGCCCAGAGCCCTGCAAGCCACCCCTCCTGGTGCCATTCATGCTCCAGCTCCATGCCCATGCTGGCTGAGCTCTGAACACCAACCTTCTCAGGTCAGGGGCGCTCTTTACTTCACCCCTGCCTCCACGCTGTGGTACGTGAGATAAACAGAGGTTTACAGAAGTCTGCCAGGAAGTGAAGCACAAGAACAGCCTGGGTCACTGTACGTAGTAGTAGCACTATTGTTATAAATCCCCAGCACGTGGCAAATGAGAAGTAAAGCAGAGGAATAAAAATGCAACATTCCTTAAACTTACATTCCTAGGAATTTGCCTTGCAGCTTTGACACCAGCCGTACTTTGGTGTGATGGATGTAATACTGCAGTATTTTTAGGAAGGGAAAAATATCTTTCATGGTTCATCATCTATTCTGAATGAGTAGGGTTTTTCCTAACTTTATATATATATATATAGAATTAGGAATTGGTGTAGTATTTTGATCATTATTTTTTTTGTATCAATAATAAATTAATGAACAGAATTTGAGGCTAACAGTGAAGCTCTGTATGGATGACCTCAAGTCTTGTCATGTTTGTAAGATGTGAAAAGCCAGGAACTGCGTGGGGCTCAGCACTTGTTTCATCTCCATGAGCTGTTCTTTGTGCACAAAGGCATTTATTTTTCTCTTGTAGCATACTAGATTTCTTTGTGAGTATGACCTATATCAGCTTACCTGTGTGTGACTAAAGCAAAAGCAATTCCAAACATCCCACCTAGGTTAATCCATTAAACCCTTTGTATGATTCACTGAGTAAGAATAGTAGAAGTTTAAGCATAGAATTTGACTATAATGTACTAGTGGAAAGGTTTTCATGTTTATCAGTCTCATCAAGCAAGTGAATACACTTGGTCAAATTAAAATATCTAATTATTTATTCACATAGAAACCAGTAAATTTTAGGGTTGGTAGCACAAAACTTTTTGTTAAAAAAAGAAAATGGGCTATGCCATATAACTTCTTCACTCTCAATAAAGTAACATTATCGCAGTTAAGAGTACAATAGAAATGAAACATTCCATGTTATATCAGTCGGAGCACAACGTGATGAATATAATGAGAATATCCTTGTCAGAAATGTTACCACAAGGAACTATCAATAGCTAACAGCCATGTTCTCCAACTAGAAATCAAGAGTACTTGAGTAGATCTTGGCATAAAAGGCACAAAACACAAAGCCAAGCATGCTTGTGTTATTTGTCACGAAGAAGCATTGACATTTGTGCAACGTGGAGAAGGATCGTTGTTTTTCCAGACTCTTCCAGTATCACAGATCTGTAGGGAACAAATGTTTCCCCTAATACCAGTGTGTCAGTCCCAGTACAGATGCCAGCAACTACAAGAAAAGAGAATAGAAGAGGATACACCTATCCCTTCCAGGAGATTTTAGCTTGTGTATTGAGAAAGCTGCTGCTATTGTACTGTTAGTACTAAGTAAATCACTGCAGGCTCTCAGAAACACAACCTCTGGCAGTGAGCACTTGTGGGGATTGTGTAAGACTGCTAAGAATGTAACAATGCTGGAAACCTTTCATAAACACAGGTTTACCACTTGCATTTAAATGTGTGGTGCCAGCTCCCTCTTTGCTTCAAATAAACCTTTTTAAAAGGTTTGAGTCCTTGAAAGAAAAGACTCTTCAGAAGAGAATGCTGCCTATGCAGAGGAATGGCTTTTCTGATTTTAAGGTGCTTCAGAAATACAGATTAAACACCCGTGGTATTTGCTTTTGTAACGGGCCATCCTACATCCTGCTAACATCATCTTGTCAGCAGCCTATCTGCTATATCTCTATAACAAGCCTGTCCTCATCATCACTGCTAGTGTCATCATACTCAATTCTGGTTTGCTTCCTCATCATCTCTAAACCTCTCTTTTTGTATGTCCTAGAAGGTGTTGCTGCGCATGTCTTGAACTCAGGGGACCTGAGAGTAACCGGGGGCTTTTTAAAGGCAGTAGCAGCAGTGTCATGTGGCCTTCCACCACTGCCTGGCTGCAGCCGGGTTCCGTTCTTGGCTGCGCTCCCGGGAAGGTTAAGGATTCTTTGAGAAAAGTTTGCCTTCTCTGGGTGTTCTGTACCAGGTAATTCAGCCCTCGAGGCCGCCTCAGGAAGGGACTCTGCTTTTGATCTGAAGAAACTTGAACATCCAGGCTTGGAGCTGGGAGTTGAGTTTTCTTTTGGAGATGGACATGTGTTCTCTTCAGCTGGAGGTTTCTTCCTTCCCGAGGCCTGGGTCAGCGGGTCTAACGTACCAAATCTTTGACTCTCTGACTCTCCATGTAGTATGTTTTCTTGGCTGGCTTCTAGGTGTAAGGAAAGAGGACCAGGAGTCTCTGAGTTTGTGCTGTCACCTGTGCCTGTATTTGTAAAATCAGAAGTGCAAGACCAAAAAGAAGGTGCCATTGAGTCACCCTGAACATCTGGCTGTGACTCCCCTGGGACTGGTCGCTGAACCACAAGTGGTTGTGTCACTACACAGCAGATTTCCACGTCACTGCTGACCTGCTGCATGGCTGTAGTAACTGTGGACGAAAAGGAATGAGCAGTCACAGATATTTCCAGAGGAGCTGGAATGTTCTGAAAAGAGAAGTTTGTTCTTGTGCGTTCCCTGATTTGCCCAGAAATGTCCTGTAGAAACTGGTGGGGGGGAAAGGAGGAAGAGACAAAATACATTTTAAATTTTCAGTCCAAAGCAATTCCCCCCTTCATGAAAGTGCCATAATTAAGCTGACTGTATCAATAGAACCTCTTCTCTCCCAGTGTCTGTGAGAGGTGTAGTAAAGGATATAGTTTTTCATTATTTTTTTTTCATGGGTAGGTGCCAGATCATGCTAATAATTTAGGGATGATGGGGGTCAGGGCTTTCACCCCACATTCTTAAGTGCTCTCCAGGATGACATTCTGTTCATTAAGGTATTTTAATATACATATTGCAGCGATGTTTGTGCAACGTAGAGGGAAAAGTTTATGATGAATCTGTCAGAAATATTACAGTGTCTGAGGTGGCGAGATGCGTGTAGGAAATAAAATTACTTAGTAAAAAAAGTTTTAAGGATTCGTTTCCTAAATATGATACTGCTTGTGCTACATGAGGAACCAGTGCTCATGGAGTGTAACAGCAGTGTGGCTCATGAGCTTTTGACTTCAAGTGGGGCCAGTAGACACCCAGGGAGGAGTGTAAGTAGGGCAACAACAGGATGCTCCAGGATCTGTGCTGACACTGCACACTGCAGTGTCCTTGCAGCACAGCAGGTGTGTCTCAGGCCCTCTCTGGCTAATGCAGCTGTTGGGAGCATTGAAACCACAGCAGCATTGGCTTCCACACAGGCCTTAAAGACATTCAGTTGGGCACACATTCTTCCATTACAGTCCTCCTCACTTCTCCAGTTCCAAGCTCACTGTCTCTGCCTCAGGATACCCCGTGCTACTTCTGCTGGCAACTCCGACATCAGTGCTAATCAACTCTGACAGCGAGCACAAGAAATATCTTACTCAATTGATGCAAGTTTAATGGTTCTTTTATAAAAGCTAATTCTAACATTATTTTTTATTATATTTTAAACCCCAAAATACCTTTAAGACTTTTTTAAAAAAAATCAGTGATACAAAGTATTCTCAGCTTGAACTTTAAAGCACCCGAATGTGATTCGGGTTTTAATTACCAATATCCTTTTAATAAAAAGTGATATGCAAGATAAGGCACAATACCTACTTTTTTATCCATTTTATCTTTTTGTCTAACATGGTTTAGATTTTCAGTATGGGCAGATATTCCTGAGTTAATCTTTCCTTCTTTTTTCTTTCTGCAAAGCGGCTTGTCTGAGGTGGAACAAGATGTTTCTTTTGGTTGGTGTAAGTAATGTCCTGTTGAAAAGAGGTTGAAGAAACTTTTACTTAGATTTTTATTTCCCCACATGCTAGAACTTGCTAAATTTCTCATCATATCACTGAACTAAATTCTATATTCTGACTATTTTCTGTGAATTTTTATTCTAAGTGTGATATGTTTTCTCATTTCCTTTATATACATTTGATTGGGTTGTTTTTTTTTAATTGGCCATTATTGTCCTGCAAAATAATAGTTGTTTGTATCTGCTATGAATGAATACAAGGAATTGTGTCTGCTTCCAGATGGTTGTGGCATAAACATCATTTGCATTAATACTACTAATTAAATGGGGGGTGGCCACTGAAATGCAGAAAGCAAGTCAACACACCAAACTCAATTCACGCTGCAAACACACAATCTTGTTTCAGAAAATGATAAAGATGCATCTTAAAACTTTTTAGGCTTCTAGTGGAAGGTTATTCTGAGTAATTTCCTTTTAAAATGCCTTCCTAATTGTCAAATAAACATATGTAAGTACGTGTATGAAAATCACTGTGTGTTCAGTTCTCAAAATGTGCAGGATGTTCGTGTTTTTACTTGCAGAACATACTGAAGGACAAAAAGTGGTTTTGCAGTTCCATGTGGTGCACATCAGAGATAGTGCAAACGTTCATGCTCTTAGAAATATATTCAATACGTTAAAAAATATTCAAAATACTTACCTTGTACCTTTGACTGAGAAGATTGGTACTTCTTACACTTAAATTTACAGGGTTGGGATGAACAGCCCTTTCTCAAAGCATCCAATGTTCTATTTGAGAAACAATGCTGCTTGCTTTGTCGGTTCATTTTCAACTGAGCAGATCTGTGTATGTGCCTTCCTCTGTACCTGCATTGCCAATGGCATTTAAAGGGTCAACAATATGTGTGATTTAAAAGCAGCCAGAGTAGAATAATGCCACATCATCAAGTAAGTTTAAGTCTAACAGCAATTTACTACTGTGAAGGAGATGTTTGTTCATGTCAACTCAAAAAAACCCCAGGATTTTAGGCAAGAGACCCACAATTATTTTATTAAATTTTTCCTCAGTAGGTTCAGTAAATCCCAGGCTTGATAACAGAAAAGGATTCAGGAATAATAGATCTTTTTTCCTGTATGTGGGATTTTAAAACAACAAACTTCATGAAGACTTGAATCACACAGGAATCACCCGAGACTGCACAGTTATTGGCTTTTTTACCTTTCACTTGTATGCTACCTATTCATCATCACTAATGAACAACATCAACATTTCACTTCCTTAGAAAACTCACTGAATAACCCAACTCTGCTTTGTTTTCTACTCTAGCTAGATGTTTCAGTAACTTAATGATTGGGGCTAAAGTATATTGCAAGATCCCATTCCTGTATCAGTAGGATCAGTCATTATACACAGACTAGTAAGTAAATCTAAAAAGGGGTGCTTATTCTAGTGTTTGGTGTATTAGAAAAAAATATTGCGTTTCATGATTGAGAGTCTGGCCAGTTAGCTACTAATCGGCATGACCTGACCTTTCAGGGCCCTGTACTTAATTGAGTCTCTGAAGCTATTTGATATAGCCAAATAAATAAATTCTGAGACCAGCAACGAAAAAAAAAAAAAAACAAAAAAAAAACCAGGACAAAAAACCCACCCAAAAACCAAACCAGAAGAAAGCCCCAGAAGAATGTCACTAGACTGGAAAATACAGCTCTGAGTCTCCTATTTTTGTTCTTATGATCGTTCAAAATTGCGGTGCTGTTTGCCAAACTAGACCCAATGATTAAGTTACTGACACTGATTTGTCCTCAAGGGAGTCACTCTGTCTGATTTTGGTCATGCAATAAAATAAGAGGGATGTATGCACACAATATGTGTTTCTTATTGAAGCAATTCATCAAACATGCTGCTGCCCCACACTCTTGAAAGATTAGAGGCTAAATCTTCCACTGATAGGAACTCCCATTAAATATGGAGCTGCTGTGCTGATTGATACAATATGCCTTTGATAGTTATATACTCAAATTCTTCCTGCTTTTTATTTAAACCAAATGATCCTTTAATCTACAGATGGTTTTGTTAGTTTGTATTAGAACTTGATATTTATTCTTCTGCATTCTCTTGTGAATACAAGTTCAGGATACAGATCTCATGAGGACAAAAGGGTCTTGCACACTGCTTTTAGCTGTAACGGGATTAAAACCTGAAGTATTCTGGTTCCCTTCACACAAAAGTAAATGCTGACACTTTTGACACATAAGAACAATTTCTAAAGCACAGTGAGAGCCAACTGACCACTCATCATCTTTCTTTGGTATGTGTCTGTTTCGCTTAGAAAAGTCTGTTCCTGGTAGTAAACAACATGCTGAAATTTTTTATAGTTACCTCTGTGGAACTGCTGCAAGGTGGGGAAATCTCTTTGTGAGAGATTTCCTCCCACCCCCCCTCCCTGCCTCAATTTTGACAAGGTTGAATTTTGGGGATTTTTTTATTTTCTGTGGGCTTTTTATACCCATTTTAGCAAAACTCCCTCTGTATTTAGGGAAGCAGAAAACCACATTCCTTACCATTTTGGGGTGACTTTAATCTTTTTCTGTTTGTGGCTCCTCTTGAGTTTATTTGTTGAGAGTTTTTCCTTTTTACAAACTACTGTTTTCTTCTTTTGGTCTGAAATATTTTTGAAAGCACCACCAGGAGCTGCTGAGCTCAACTGTTGAGAATATTGGAAAAGAAATGAAGTACATGAAACTTCTGAATTCATCAACCAAGAGACTGGAAATCTATGCTCTTTTTAAATAGCACTGAGTAGCATAGTAGTTAAATAGCACAACTCTGAGTTTCTCCTGGAATTTTTGTGTTAGTTTTTTCTAATCACTTTGTCCATCTACTTTTATAAAACAAAATTAAAACAACTCACTGCTTTTGTGGATCTACACAGAATTAGCGTATGTTCTTTCGTATTATTCTTCCTATAGAAAAAAATCAGCTTTGTCTTACAGGGCCGTTCTAGGATCTGTACAGATAAACCAGTCTACCTTCACTTCCTTAAAGTAGAAAAGCTTTCAACCCTTAAACACTTCACAGGGTATTAATGTGATTCAGTTTTGTTGACATTTCAGTGTACCTAAAGAGTGAGAGAGCTAGTCCACAGTCCGTCTTTGACTCCGCACATCTCCAAGTATAACAAAGTCTTGACATTAATGGTCTACTTAAATCCTACTCTAATTCAAATATTCATTTAAAATGAAAACAGTGAAACATATATGCTCTTGCAGAAGAATGTAACATACAAGGGAGAAAATCAAGAAAAGAAATACCCTTTTTGCACTGACAGCATTCCTACTGAAATTCTCGAGTGAAACTTAAATGCACAAAAGCATGGATTTTTTTCATGCATCAAATGAATATGTAACTTATCTTATAAAAACATAAATTGTAAATCCTGTATCAGCAAATGCCTGTCAATGTCCACTTTTGATAATGCTTTTATTTTTCTAAAGGGGGACTCAGGCAATTACACCCTCTTGAGAAATGAAATAGCGTTCTTACCATTACCTCCTGCATCTGTTGTCCTTTAGAAAAGGATGATACCAATGTTTTTAAACTCCTGTTTGTTAAGCCATATGCCACGGTCTTGCTAATATTTTTCATTTTAAAAATAGAAATATCATATTGTGACAGTGTGCATTTGTTGCTAGACTCCTTGTCACAGCTGTGCATGGAGGAGTAAGCAGAGTCTGCGCTCCCCTTCTGCTCCGCAGGCAGAGGGAGGCTTCTTGTTAAACAACACCAAGTTAATCGAGGTTCAGCATTCAGTGATGGGAAGGTGCTCTTTGTGCTTGACACTGTTAAACTTCCAGAGTAGCAAGTCACATTATTGTGGGGTAGTGCTGCGAATTCTTTACAGTGAGTGGTGAGAGTGTGGCAATAAAAAGTGCCAAAAGAATGGCAGAAATAGGAGGGATTGTCTGCTGAGCTGTGAGCTCGCTGCGTAACCTGCAGCGCTGGTGAAATGTCCTTAAGAACACATGGAGTTCCACTCCTGTCCCACTCTGTGGCTGCTGGCTCTGCGCCCTTGCCAGAGGCTGACGGTATTATCAAAGAGTCACTTCCTGAGCAAAGATGATGTAAAACCTTTCTCTCTTCTTTGATGTCAGCTGATATGAAAAAACCACTTGTATACATAGAAGTAAAGCATATTTTCTTCTTTGGGGTTTGTTTAGAGGAAGTAGTTATGCTCACCCACTTCTCTTCTGTTTGCTTTTGGTAATTTGATTTATTTTTGTTATGTTTGTTTTTCCAAGCATCTCTTACAGCACCCTGCTGCCTCAGGTTTTGGTTATAAAAGGTGTTATCTGTTGTGGTTAAGATATTTGTTGTTTCTGAATGGACAGGTGAACAGAACACTGGAGTTTTCCAGTTTGCATGTACGTTCCATCGCAGCTCTCCTCTGCTGGCTTTTTGTCTCACTTCAAATTTTAAAGGGGACCAGAAGACATTGTTAGAATGAGAACTGAGTGATGGGCTGTTGAGAGAGCAGGAGGGGTAGGTTAAGGTGTCTGTCACACATGTGCAAGGCATAATCTTCTGTTCTGATCTAAGCAAAAGTGACAGGTCTGAGGCTCTCTTCTCTTGTGGCAGTTTAAGAATGTATTTTGGAGAAAAGGCATTTTGCTGTGGAGCTGGAGCTGAATGACCAGATTGCAGATGATGATTTTTAGAAGACACATCAACATCATTGTCACTGCAAAGTGGTACTTTTACTCCTGTTTTCAGAAGACATGTTTTGACATCTTTGTCTGTTGCATTGTGCAAAGCAAAGGAGTTGCAATCACTTCCCCTTGATTCAGGCACTAAAAGACCCACAAATGAACTCTTTGAAATACCTGCTGAATGTGAAAGGTTAACATCACTATAATTAACAGCTTTTGTGGGGAGTTTGACTGTTTTAATATACTCCACATTCTCACTATCTCCAGTGGATTCATTAATTCCTGTGCTTAATTTTTGCTCCTCTGCTTTACTGGAGAATGTCACTGGTGCTGTGGGAAGGCACTGAGTGCTACTGCAGGAGACTCTCTCTCCTTCATTTTCTGCATTGTTTTCACTACTGGGACTAGGGGAGGACTTTGAAATAATGTTTTGTGTCTTCTCCACTTCAAATTTCAGCTTTTTTCTTTCTGGTAAATTCTGTGGTTTCCCTGTGGCTTCTGTGTTGTTGCAGAGGACCCACTGGGGCATCAGGGCATGCTGGCCAGTTTCCTTACTCCTGCTATAGTTTCCGTAATTGCTTGAAGTGGTTTTACAATCTGATTCAAACGGACTGGAGTCTTTCCCAGGGCTTGTTTTTTCCCATTTGCTGCTCTGTACTGGTAAGCAGTCATCATTCCTTCTGCTGGTGTCCAGCTGACACTGAGCGTTTTGAAGCTCACAACTGCTTGGAGCTAGTAATGTGCTGCTGCCCGCTGCGTGTCTGTCTGTGTCACTGCCCCTGAGATCTCGGGAAGGTTTGCTCATTACAGCCTGGGCACCAGCACTTACTGAATGTGATGTCTCCATTAGGTAGGTTACACTGTCTGCAGGTTCCTCGGAGGACACATTCTGTAGAATATGATTACCATTAGCAGAGGTTTCTGATTTATCACTGCTTAAACATGTTGTTGCAAGGGAGGAAAGACTGTCACGTACAGAGCTCCTGCCATCGTTTTCCTCAGTAATTTCAGTACTGCTGATTGATTCCTTTGAATCAGGAGTGAAGCTTGTAATACCTGTAATCTTATTCCCCCTTTGTTTTATTTTCTTGGCATTTTGACTGCTTTTCATTTTTTGGTAGATTTTTTTGAACGTTTCATCACCATACATTTGCCATTTTTCTTGAGAGAACATCTTTAACTTCCTTTGATTGTGTTTCTTATTTTTAGCACTGATTACTTCTCCAGCCCCAAGCTTTTTACTCCCTTGCAACTCCTCTGACGGAGGAGGGGGATGATCGACCACATTACTTAATGGCAAGTCATCCACTGCTGTTTGTCTGACTAGAGCTCGGGGATGGCTATTAGGAAAATCCACTGAATTTGCAGCGAGATTGTTGCTAGGCAGCAAACTCACAGGGCCTGTGTTTGCAGACTGCTTAGTAAGAGAAAGCGGTTTTGAGCAACCTGCTTTGTCATGTACCATTCTTGTGCCCTCCACAAATGGCAAAGAGTTGCTTCGTGTAACAGGCACAGTATCTATTGTTGTGGAGAACTGGGTGGGAACTGAATGAAAAAACATTGGCTTGCATTTTTCTAAGGGTGCAAAGGTAGATTTTGCTGAACAAAGGGAAAGATTCTTCTTCCTATTTGCATCGCAAGTTCTGATGTCAAAATGGAAAGAGTCTTTGTATGTATAAGGCATTGGCAGGTCAATGCTTCCCTGTTTAGAAAGGACAGTTTTTCTAGGCCTAACGTTGTCTAACTGGGTATCATCCACCACACTTTTGTTATGAGAAATAAGCTTTAAAATGTGTTCTTCCAGCTTCTTTTTCTCTAGCGACAAGGCTGTAGCTTTCTCAGCTGCATCCAGCTTTGCACTGCTTCCGGACGTGCACCTCGAGCTGCTGAAGGCAGTTTCATTTTCCTGTTCTGTGCTGTGTTCACAGAGACTGTGCAATGGGCTGGATGATGCCATCTGTTGTTCTGTGCTGTCAGAGCGTGACAGATACCCTGAGTCAGTGCTCTCACACTTCTTTAGCTTGCAGTCAAATGGCTTGTAATCCCACTGTTTTTCTGAAGAGGTTGCTTGCTGCCTTTGCAACTGAATATGCTTATTGGCAGGTGGAGTTCTTTGCTCCTCTATCTTCTTTCTCTGGCACTGACCGTTTGGCAAAGCTCCTGGAGATGGTAAACGTTGAGGTTCTCTTTCAGGAACCCCCTGATTACCTTTGGAACTAAAGGACTGATTCATTGTTTCTTTATTTTCTGCAGTGAATGATGTATCACCTGTTGCCAGCAATGGAAGGTCACTAAGAAGTTTCTTAGTGCCCGTTGCAGCACTGGGCTCCCAACTCAGTTGTTTCGTCTGTACCCCTTTGTCTTCACAGGTGTTACTGAGTAGTTTGCTGCCTTCACATGGGGTCCTGCTTTCTGTGGATTTGTCATTCTGCTCCAATGTGCCGCTGTTGTCAGAGTCTGAGGGCAGTCTGGTATTGTTGACATGTGTTTGAGTTCTTCTGTGTTTGTACAAATTGCTTTGAGTTTTAAATGCAATACCGCAAGTGGTGCATGGAAAGGGCCTCTCTCCTGTGTGAGAGCGAATGTGTTTCTCAAGGACACTTGGCTTCAAACAATCTCGTCCACAGTGTTTGCAGATGTATTTCCCAGCTTTTTTTGACTTTCCTGGGCTTCCCATAGATGCATTTACACAAGGATTTGGTGATGATAAAACTGGTAAAGTGCTCACTATGTTCAGTGTTAGAGTTTGCCCAACTTGTTTCTGAAAAACTGACTGAGGCTGATCTGTGCCTTCTGAGGGAAGAAGTGGATTCAGGATTAGAGGTATGCTGCTGCTGTCGAGATTTATACAGCTCCTGCCAGTCACTAACTGACTGCTTGGCTGAAAGCATCCTGCCTGGACGGGTTGGTAGAGTGGTATGGTGAGGGCTTTTAGGTACACGGGTTGGGGCAGTGCTTGTTCCTGTCGAGGAATCGCACTGTCTTGGCTGAGACCTGAAGAACTCTGTGCAGCCTGAAGAGACGAGGTTGAAACTGGTTGATCTGCAAGTGCAGTTGTCAAACCCGGCTGCTTCTGTGCCTCCATCTCAAAGGTTATCTGCCATGTGGTCATGTATCTATTAGGGAGGGGAAACAAAACAAGTAGGAATCTTCAGATAACAAAATAAACACTTTCAACTGCTGGACTGGGAAAGTCAGCCATTGAGAATATCACAGATCTTACATACAGGTGTTATACAGACAAAGTTACATCATTTTCCAGTTAACTTGATTCACCTTTCATTTCTTAGCTAGGAATTAAAGTTTGGTACATAAAGAACATTGAATATTGCACTTAAAACCTACAGTAAGAACCCAAAGTACTAGAAATAAATCTGAGTATCAGATTTGCAAATGGAGGCCCTCAGCCCCCCAAAATAATCCAGTGTTAACTTTCTGGAACTGTATTCCCATTACATATTTATGTCATGTTAATTTAAGAATTTACATTAATATACGTTAATATAGAAACACAGAACAAGTAACATTAGAAGGAACCTCAGAAGGTGTCAAGTCCAGACATCTGCTCAAAGCAGAGTTAGCACTTGCAGCAGATGAGGTTGTACAGGTTATTACCCAGTCTGGTTTTGAAACCCTCTGGGAATAAAACCTGCACAGCTTCTGTGGCGACCTGTTCCAAACACGGGACATGAAACATATTATCTGTATTTACCCAAAGTGAGTGAGGTTTAATACACTTCACAGGTGATGCAAAAAGAAAATATATGAACAAAATGAAACTTGTGTCCTCTTGTACAAGGGAGATGCACATAAATATGTATAACGTAGAAAAGATGGTATCAGAGGAAAACGGTGGGAAAAATTAAAGCTCTCTTTTGTGTAGCCCAAATTAATTTTCTCTAATTAAAGGCAATACTATGATATACTGCTTGGGTTTATATGGTTCCAATTCCAGATGAAAACATTTTGCAGACACAGTTTTTGGAAAAAGTTATTCTGAAAACTGTCCAGATAAAAGCAGGGTGGTGCTGGTCCAACTACTCCTTATTTTAACACAAATGTATCTTGTCTGTTTTCTTTCTTAGAAACAAGCTAGGAAACTATCAAAATAAGCTACTTGAAAATTATCTCAGGAAGAGCCGATATAGGCATCAGCATAACCTCTTGTGATTATAGTTTGGGTGAGAAATAGAAGGTTGTCTGTGAATGTTTATTCAAATTCTTACTGAGCTTTACTCACAGCTCTGTATCCACTGGCTGTTAGCATTATTAGGCTGTTCTTGTGCAAACAATCATAAAACCCCCATTTCAAATAACATAATCAGCAGTGAAATGTGAAATCTGCAATTTGTTGCCTTACTGCATAATCTGTAGTGGTGTTTCTGTGCCTTCCTCGGATCGTTTTAAGAGGTAATCATTACAGAGAAACAGTATTGCTCAAAATTGTTTGAAACTGGGACTGGTTCCGTATGACACACACACATGATGTTACCACTAGCCAAAGCAATATCTCTGTTGTATATAGGTACTGAGAATTTTGCAAATAATTCACACAAAGGGGAAATGGCAAACTCAATGTAATAGTTTTGGAGTATTCCTTAGTTATTATTAGAGCAGTTAATAAAGCTGGTAAGTTGATATAAAGTCGGATGGAGAGCCAAGAAAAGTTCTGTTACTTTACAACTGAAAATGATAGTATCTCACTCATGTCACATGAAAAAATGGGAAACTTACTGTCTGTTAATGATCAAATGGGACCAGTTAAGGTCAGTGAGTTATATGCTGAGTACTAAATGCAATTAGCATCTTATTAAATTGAGTAGGAATTCAGGTAGTTTTCATATGAAATGTGTGCCCCATTGACACTGAAAAAGAAAGCACCCCTCTTGGTTATCTTCTGCAAAGGAAAAAGTTTTCCATATTAGGATATTGCCTTTAATCCAACTGATTATTTCATCCCTATGTGTGGCTCACAACGCAACTGTAAATACTTCCTCCTCAAGCAAACACAAAACTAAGGTACCAAGAACCTGGCAGCTATTGCTTTATGCTCCTCACTCTGCACTACTTCTGGAAGTTCTGTCACTGCCTGGCAACTTAAGTTTCACAGCCAAGGCTTCTTCCAGTTTCTCTCTGAAACTTGCTTGTCTCAAGAACTGGAAAAATCGAGGGAAAAACAGCGAACACAGTCCCTGGGATGTGTCCTCTGACTTTCCTTCTGGTAACAAGCAAGGCCATTAGTGCCTCTGCATCCATTACATGCATCAACAAGACTGCTGATGAGCCACTGTGTGCAAAATGAACTGATCTGCACAAAGCAATGTGTTAGATTTTGCCTCTTCTCTAAAGTCTCCATGGACTTTTCTTGTCCACTTCAGAGATTTCTGGAGCAATCACTTAAGTGGCTTTGTAATGTAGCTATTAACTATATTGATGAACAAATATTACAAGAATATGGCTTGTTAAAGGAATTAAGTTATTATCCATATTCTGCAGTGTGGTTAACGCTATGGGATAAAAGTGGATTACTCTAATTTGCAAAGTGAGGCTATAGACATTTCAAATCCATTTAAGATGATTCTTAAGCTATACAGTCAGCTTTATTTATAGCGATTTAAACAGAGCATACAATAAACCCAGCAGTAAGTGATAAGACACAAGCCAATGACACATAAACTAAGCAGGCAGTAGTTTTTCCAAAGATGTGAAAATAAAGAAAAGTTGAGGGAAAAAGACACGCTGCAGAGACAAGACTCATAGAAGAAAAGTGAACTCTGAATACCGTGTAGCTAGAACATGTAACAAGTACCATAGAGACGAAACAAGCCATAGTATTGATGCTCCCCTCCTACCCCGGAGAGAAGTGTGGAAATGTGGAGTTTACATTTCCACCTCAATAAGTACAAACTATGTTCTGTCTTTGAATACCCTCATGCACATGGATAGTTGAGGGGCCAGCCCGGGTGTCAGTAGGACTGGCGGTGGGTGAATCCTGTAGTTCCAAGGTACCAGATTCTCTGTGTGATTTTGCTTATTCTGGTAAATTTCTAGGACCCAAAATACAGTGCAATTCAGAGAATCATTTCAGTGCTCTGTAATGTTCCACAAAGACAATACCTAACTGATTACAGAAAATTTAAAGGGAGGTTTTAACTAATGCTAAACAATTAAACTAAATGGTGACACACACTCTCATTACTTTCAAGAGTTTAATAATACATTTCTACCAGCTGTGGCAGTTTGCTGCTTTTCACAGCAAACAAAAGATACTTTCTTCCTAAGTGAAGCTTCTGTGGCTTGTATTCTACTGTGGCAAATATGATCATACTTTTCACAACTGTCTTTTAAATACAAAAAAAGCCACCCTATTTCTTTGTACATTCACAAAAATAGCTTATCTCAAATTAATTGTACCCCAAGGCTAATTCTCAGTAGTCCTTCCCTAAAGCAGAAAAACTTCTGTTGTTTATTGTCAGGCTCTGTTACTGAGCATGTACCTGGTGTTCTGAGCTCAATTTGTAACTTGTGGCATTGAACTACTGGTATAAAAACTTGATCCTGATTAGATAAGGAAAAATTTCCAAAAACAAAGTTAAAACCAGGATTTGGCCAGTCCAAAATTTTCTGAATTAGTTTCTTAAGCTATCAAAACCGTTCAGTAAAATTCCACTTACATACAGTTATTTTGTTCCTAGTTTGAATTGTATCTTCAGGTACACAGCACAGGTAGGTCTGTGGAACACTGAAAAATCAAAAAGTGGAGGAGTTTTAGATGGCAAATCTTATTCTGTATATAAGAATAAGTATAAAGTAATCTAATAAGAGAGGAGGGTAGTATAAAAAACTCATTTAAAATCCAACGTGTTCCTCTTTTCGATATATTTTTTTCGTAAACTACAAATATATTTTACAAAGCTTGATTCATTTTATCAGCACTGTTACAATAATCTTGGATTTTTGTCTTCTACATGGCACACACAAATGCACGGTCAACTGCCCATCACTGTTGCTAAAATCATTAAATAAACATGAAACTACTTATTTCCTGCACTTACATATAATTCTGGGACACACCATTGAGAGGAGTGTCATGGTCTTGCAGCAGATGCAGCACTCGATCCCCTGGCTTGGTTGACAGGTATAATCTCTAGGTATGATAGCATTAGTTTTGTAACCACGGAGAAGCAGCTTTTCAACATTCTAAACATACATAATATACTATACTGGAAGTCTGCCTTTTTTTAAAGCTTTTGGTGCTCCCTACCTTACAAAGAACACCAGAGAGCACACAGAAATGGAGTCCCCATTAGTCTCTAAATAATCTCAGCTCACATACCTTTTATTGAGCCAGGCATCAGCAAAAGAAGTCTCATGTCTGTCAATACTTGATGCAAGCAGAGAGAAACGAGGACAAAGACTTGAAACAGATTAGAAGTAGGAAGTTGGTTTTTTCTTTTTTTTTTACATTGCTGTCACAGTAACAACCTTCAGAAAACAGGAAGAGATGAAACAAGAAGAAAATGAAGTAGCATTTCACTCTCTTGATATCCTTTATAATTATTCATGTAGGAACCTATAAACAGAATCAACTGTCTTCAAAACACAGGCATTTTGTACTCTGTATGCAACCGTATCATTCAGTGAAACACACTGACACAATGACAGATTTTTTTTTCTTTATACCCTTAAATATAATTTACTTATAACTTTACAGTAAAGAACTCTCTTAAAATGTATTGGGAAAGAGGAAAATGCTGGAGAAAAGATGCTACATTTAAAATGCTAAACTTATCCATCATGGTTATTACCCACCAGCTTCTTTGGATGGTGCCCTGCAGCAGGGTAGAAAAGCAGCAGCCAGGAGGGAAAATACTTGAAGAATGCTAGAAGTGTTTAGGTCATGTTCAACAAACTTCCCTAAAATCTGTGAAAATCCATAGGGAAAACAGGATAGGGGGCAGTCCAAAGAAGTGAAAAGATCCTTTTAAGAGTTTAGATTTTATTTGTGGGTTTACTTCCTAAAATGCACTCAGGTTAAGTGGGCAGCAGAGCCAGCGTGTCCTGTTACGGGGCAGCTGTTCTTTA